TTTGAGGTTTGAGGTTTTGAACAACGGACCAACATCATGGTACACGGGTAGTAACCCATAAGTGATCCATTCTTCTTCTAACTCAAGTCTGAGTCTGAAGAAAACAGGCACAGTGCACAGGCTCTGTAGCACCGGCGAGGATCGTGAAATACTTTGGGTAGATTTTTAACTAAAAATGTTGCCCGGGCAGCGCCGTTAGGTTACTTTTTTTTATTCTGAACTGCCAAGGGATTTTTTACGTGCGCAACAATGCACACGGGCGTCCGATCTTACTACTTAGAAACCAGGGGAAATTACTAAAAGTCCAAATCCCCGTTAAAAAATCCCAGCTCTTACCGGGGATTGAACCCGGAACCTCTAGCACATGAGGCGGACTTATGTGCAGCTTTATATCTCGGACATGTGAGCATACCCACAACGGCCAAATGTAGTGCCTCTGGAACTATGAAAAGTAGAGTTCCAAACAAAGATTTTGAAATCCCCCCCCCCCCCCCCCCCAATGAACTATTGATGGGGTGGCTAATGAAATTAGGCTTAAAGATGACTGTGTAAAAGTGGGGGATGAGATTCCTTATATTGAAAATTTCCACAATTTCGGGGATTGGGGAGGGGCGGGTGGGGGAAGGGGGGGGGGGAGGTGTTACTGCAGTTCTGCAGTCCCTGTGCATGAGCCATGTAAAGATTGTGTGATTTGTTTCATCCACTAAGAGATGGCTACTGCCAATTACAATGCCGGTACCAAGGCACGCACCATGCGTTGGCTAGTTACTAATGACACTACATTTTCTATTTGAAAAAAAAAAAAAAATCGCCTAATGCCACTACCACAGAAATCCATGGCCTAAGTTGTTGTTTTTTTACCTGACTACTGCTATTTCATAGTTTTAGTAATGTATTATTTGAAAATTATTTGGAAGCTGAGGGGATGTGGTTTTGTGCACGAATGATGAGAATACCATTGAACGAGTAATGCGGATGTCTAGGAAAAAAAAAAACTTACCCCCGAAGAGAACTGACTGACCACATCAGAAAGAGACAATCTACCTTTTTTTGGTCATGAGATGAGAAGGAGACAACTGGAGTTAATCTGACAGTAGGCCCTGCTCTCTAGCGTAGTTGTCTAAACCGGATTGCGTGGTGACCGGGGGACGAACTCCTTGTGGTCCGGGTTCACTTCCGGGGGTATGCAGAAAAGCCACATTTTCTCCCAGATTTATGGTATTTACAATGGAATCAAGGCCGAAAGGTTGCGATATCCATAATACCGAGGCTAAGGGTTAACAACTCATGGCTTCTTGATACTAAAACAAACAAACATCGTGACAGTAGGAAAAATTGGGGAAAAGGGGGAGGCAAAGGAAGAACTAGAGAAAGGATGCTGGATAGTGTGACATCTTGGCATGGAGGATCATCTGTGTCCGAGCTGACTGAAAGTACATGAGACAGAGGTTGTGAATAGACATGACTACCAACGCCACACGGCATGGAGGATTATCTGTGTCCGAGCTGACTGAAAGTACATGAGACAGAGGTTGTGAATAGACATGACTACCAACGCCACACGGCATGGAGGATCATCTGTGTCCGAGCTGACTGAAAGTACATGAGACAAGAGGTTGTGAATAGACATGTCTACCAACGCCACACGGCATGGAGGATCATCTGTGTCCGAGCTGACTGAAAGTACATGAGACAGAGGTTGTGAATAGACATGACTACCAACGCCACACGGCATGGAGGATCATCTGTGTCCGAGCTGACTGAAAGTACATGAGACAGAGGTTGTGAATAGACATGACTACCAACGCCACACGGCATGGACTTCAAGTTAGAAGTAATATCTGCTTATGATAACAAGAGGTTATTATAACATTTGATTGGAATTAAAGGAGCGAAGCTTTCGGATTACACAATGTACAGGTATAACTAAAGAATAAAAAGACACATTATATTGAATGTTATAGCATATGAAAAGACTCTTGACTGGAATAGCTGATGCTGCATCTATGTGCTGTCTATACACGTGCCGCTACTGCTTCCTATGACTTCTCCTCGTACACATGTTAGGCTCGATTAAGTTGGAGGCCTTTTAAACTCCACACAGGCGTGGGAGGTGGGGGAAGGGTTCGTGATGTGGCGGCTAGTGGTTCTTCTGCGGATAGGAAGGTCGTGGGTTTGGTTTATGACGGAGACGGACATTTTAAAAAAAAGTGACTGGCTTCCAGGTCGACCCAGCCTTGAGTGGTATCAGGTAAGTCCTGGGAAGTAAAGGCGGCCGGTGCGATGCTGACCATATCATCCAGCAAGTGCCGATTTGTATAGAATATATTGGTCTGGTCCTATATGACCAATACACCTGAAAACGTGAATGTTGAATAAAGAATCAATATCACAACACTCGGGAAACTCCCATAAGTGCTCAGTCTCCATCTTCAGCAACAAGCAAAAAGTTCCGATTCCAGTGGTGCCAGTAACTGTCGGATTGTATATCCATCTCGCCTTTTCCCTGAGTGTTGAGCGTCGGTCAGATCCCCTTGTAACTCCTCACAGTGTCATTCTCCTCAGAACGTAATGATCTATCTGTGCTTCGGCACTGTTCACTCGCTCCCAAAGGGCCCTCACAACATACAGCTTGTCATACATTAGTTCATACACCACCCACACATGCCGGCATATCCACACACATAAACGGCAGACTAAACGTATCGATGTTTATGTCAGTTACATACACCACCTATACATACCGACATATCCACACACACATAAACGGCATACTCAACGTATATCGATGTATATGATGTATATGTCAATTACATACACCACCCACACACACAGGCATATCCACACACATAAACGGCAGACTCACCGTATTGATGTTTTTGTCAGTTACATACACAACCCACATATACCAACACACGCTCACACATAAACTGTTGACTCACAGTATCGATGTTTATGTCAGTTACATACACCACCCACATATACCGTCATATCCACACACATAAACAGTCGACTCACCGTAACGATGTTTATGTCAGTTACATACACCACCCACATATACCAACACACGCTCACACATAAACTGTTGACTCACAGTATCGATGTCTATGTCAGTTACATACACCATCCACACATACCGGCATATCCACACACATAAACAGTCGACTCACCGTATCGATGTCAATATCAGAAAGTGAGTAAATGTCTCCAGTCTTAGGGTCAACACCAAACAGATTCGACGATCCTGCTGCCTTAGAGAAGGTGTGAATCTCGTTGAGATCTGGGTCGTTGACGTACAAGCCAGAGCGTATGTTGACCTAGGACGTAGAACATATGTAATGAGGACGTAGGCACGCCGTAGTAGGCAAGCATGAATGATACAGGTATTGAGGAAGACTTGTGGAAACAAAATGTCGCCACGACGACTCTCTTACAACAATAAAGCTGTCATTAAATCTGCTTTCTTGCCCTGAACTCCAGCATTCTATATTAACAAAGGCTTATTTTGGGGGTTAGTATTAAATTAAACGCGTACTGAAATCCTACGTTATCACAATCGACGTCACTGCACACTGGGCATTCCCATGAAGCAGCCACTCCATGGTACTTCTAAAAATTGTTTCCATGAGAAGTTGGTTATAATGTCTCTTATCTCAGTCTTAAAGGCAGCATAGACGTGCTTCACCGTGCTTTATTCCCATAACACGCAATCGTGGTAGTGTCAGAGATGTGTCACTATCCATTAGCCCAGTCCGTACAGCGTTGACGATATCTGCTCTCTTAATGCTTCTTTCCACATGCGTTGTTGCACAGCTTGCCAGTTGATCCGCGCGCTCATTGCCCTTTACGCCTGCATGACCAGGTCTGTTGACCCAGGTAAGGACATCCTGAGAAATCGTCCTAAAGCTTTAAACCCCCAACCTCCCCCCCCCCCCCACCCCATCCCCCAGGAAGAAACACGGTATGTAGAGGGGGGCTTAAAAAGGAAGCACAAATGAATTTTAAGTGGGTGTTTAAGTGAACTCTTCTTAACAAAACTGAGATGAAATAACTAGGAAATAATGACTCGTAAGTTATAACATGCTATACAGGAGAGACCCGGCGTAGAACTATCACCAGGGAAGGTTCAACCATGGGCCTAATGAACACCCAAGACCTACAGCAGGGCAGCCCACCGCCAGCCATGGAGAGCTATGATCTCTGCCCTATGCGCCACCCTTGGTTCAAGAGGAAAGACTAACTAATTAACTAATTAACTGACCAGCTGACTGACCGAGTGACCGACCGACCAACCGACTGACTGACTGACTGACTGACTGACTGACTGACTGACTGACTGACTGACCGAGTGACCGAACGACCAACCGACTGACTGACTGACTGACTAACTAACTAACTAATTAGCTAGCTAGCTAACTGACTGACTGACTGACTGACTGAGTGACTGACTAACTAACTAGCTAGCTAGCTAGCTAACTAACTGACTGACTGACTGACTGACTGTCTGATTGACTGACTGACTGACTGACTAATCAACCATTTACCGATCCAACTATACTAACTAACTAACTAACTAACTAACTAACTAACTAACTAACTAACTAACTAACTAACTAACTAACTAACTAACTAACTAACTAACTAACTAACTAACTAACTAACTAACTAACTAACTAACTAACTAACTAACTAACTAACTAACTAGCTAACTAACTAACTAACTAACTAACTAACTAACTAACTGACTGACTGACTGACTAACGAACCAACAACCTAACCAACTAACCTACCTAACTAACTAATTAAGTAACTAACTGACTAAGTGACTAACCGACTAACTAACTAACTAACTAACTAACTAACTAACTAACTAACTAACTAACTAACTAACTAACTAACTAACTGACTAACTAACTAACTAACTAACTAACTAACTGACTAACTAACTAACTAACTAACTAACTAACTAACTAACTAACTAACTAACTAACTAACTAACTAACTAACTAACTAACTAACTAACTAACTAACTAACTAACTAACTGACTGACTGACTGACTGACTGACTGACTGACTGACTGACTGACTGACTGACTGACTGACTGACTGACTGACTGACTGACTGACTGACTGACTGACTGACTGACTGACTGACTGACTGACTGACTGACTGACTAACTGACTAACCAACTAACCTACTCAACTAACTAACTAACTAACTAACTAGCTAACTAACACAAGTCTACTGTAAGTCCATGAGCAGTTCCCTTACCGGTCCTTCATTGACCTCGATGTTCTGTATGTTGTCTGGGACGTGCTGTGGCGGTTCATTGATGTCTACGATTTTAACAGTGAGAGAATAAGTCTTGTTGGCCTTACAGTAGCCATCGTTCACGTCAACATAGAGGGTCACCGTGTCAGTTTCTGGTCTCTCGTAATCTGGATTTATCCTCGTCTTCAGAATGGCACCTGGAACACAGATATGGGAATAGGGGGTATTCTTTTATATTATTATTATAATCATTATTTCTTCTCCTTCTCTTTCTTCACCTTCTCCTTCTCTTTCTTCTTCTCCTTTTCCCCTGCTCATCTCCTCCTCCTCCCTCTCCTTCTCCTCCTCCTTCTTCTTCTCATTCTTCTTCTTCTTCTTCTATTCATTGTTCTTGTATTCTTTTTGTATTCTTTTTCTTCTTCATCTTCTTCTTTTTCTATTCATTGTTCTTGTATTCTTCTTGTATTCTTCTTGTATCCTTCTTTTTCTTCATTTTCTTCTTCTTCTTCTTCATTTTCTTCTTCTTCTTCTTCTTCTTTTTCTTCTTCTTCTTCTTCTTCTTCTTCTTCTTCTTCTTCTTCTTCTTCTTCTTCTTCTTCTTCTTCTTCTTCTTCTTCTTCTTCTTCTTCTTCTTCTTCTTCTTCTTCTTCTTCTTCTATTCATTGTTCTTGTATTCTTCTTGTATTCTTCTTGTATTCTCCTTGTATTCTTCTTCTTCTTCTTCTTCTTCTTCTTCTTCTTCTTCTTCTTCTTCTTCTTCTTCTTCTTCTTCTTCTTCTTCTTCTTCTTCTTCTTCTTCTTCTTCTTCTTCTTCTATTCATTGTTCTTGTATTCTTCTTGTATTCTTCTTGTATTCTTCTTGTATTCTTCTTGTATTCTTCTTGTATTCTTCTTGTATTCTTCTTCTTCTTTTTCTTCTTCTTCTTCTTCTTCTTCTTCTTCTTCTTCTTCTTCTTCTTCTTCTTCTTCTTCTTCTTCTTCTTCTTCTTCTTCTTCTTCTTCTTCTTCTTCTTCTTCTTCTTCTTCTTCTTCTTCTTCTTCTTCTTCTTCTTTTTCTTCTTCTTTTTCTTCTTCTTATATTCTTTTATTCTTCCATTATTCTTCTATTGTTCTATTCTTTTATTCTTCTTCTTCTATACATTGTTCTTGTATTCTTCTTGTATTCTTCTTGTATTCTTCTTATATTCTTCTTCTTCTTCATCTTCTTCTTCTTCTTTTTCTTCTTCTTCTTGTTATTCTTCTTCTTTTTCCTATATTCTTCTCTTCTTCTATTCTTATATTCTTCTTCTTCTTCTTTTTTCCGTTCACCGACTGTTAACTCCGGCAGATATTTTGGAGTTCTAAAACGCACTATAGTAAATTACTAGAACGAAGTATTACTGAAAGAACTAGCTTTTAAATCAATGATCTGCCCCCACCTGTAGGTGTGGTCTCCAGCTTGTACTGCTCCATGCCGGTCGATGAGGCTGACCACATGTGAAAGTTCAGCTGGGGAAATACGTTGGGGTCAATGACGTTGAGGGTCAGCACAGTGGAGTCCGGCCCAACATTCTCATTAACGCTGACCGTCGTGTCCAGGTTGGTTATGTATGGGGCTTTGTTGGACGCTGGGGGAGGGAAAGGGGGGGGGGGGGTAATGACAATAATAACATTAAACCAAACAATATGGAAAAAAAAGGTTAATATTACCAATGTTTATAAAATAATATTGTTGTCAACATTGTGGATGATGATGATGATGATGACGATGATATAAGCAAAAACAGCCATGATCCAGCTAGAAAAAATGATAACAATCTAAAATGATGTCGTAAGCAGCCGCAAAAGAAGTGGATGGGGAGGAAGAAAAAAAAAAGAAGAAGAAAACAAAGAAGAGGAAGAAGTTGTAGTACCCGTAATAGTAGTAATTGTTGTAATAGTAGCAGTATTAGTAGTATAGTAATTATTAGTATATTAGTAGTAATACTAATTTTATTTTTCAAAAATCGCAGAAAAGGCAAAAGGAAAAGTAGATGATTGTTTACATTTAAAAAATGTATAGTAGGAGTAGTAGTAGTAATAGCAGTAATAGCAGTAGTAGCAGTAGTAGTAATAGTAGTAATAGTAGTAGTAGTAGTATTAGTAGTAGTAGTAGTAGTAGTAGTAGTAGTAGTAGTAGTAGTAGTAGTAGTAGTAGTAGTAGTAGTAGTAGTAGTAGTAGTAGTAGTAGTAGTAGTAGCAGTAATAGTAGTAGTAGTTGTTGTTATAGTGGTGGTGGTGGTCGTGGTGGTATTGGTACTAGTAGTAGTGGTAGTAGCAACAGCAGCAGCAGCAGTACTGGTTATAGTAGCAGTATTAATAGTAGTAGTAATGGTGGTGGTGGTAGTAGTAGTAATAGTAGTAGTAGTATTAGTAGTAGTAATAGAAGAAAAAGAAGAAGAAGAAGAAAAAGAAGAAGAAGAAGAAGAAGAAGAAGAAGAAGAAGAAGAAGAAGAAGAAGAAGAAGAAGAAGAAGAAGAAGAATAGTTCCAGTGAAATAAACAGAATACCCACGATCTATAGTCAGATACAAAGTCACTGGTCCAATTGGAGGATTGTATGGATCTTTGGCCGTCACAGTTGCTCGCAGTGAGTCCTGGCACAAGAACTTCAGGTCATTGGTCGCTCGGATCTTTCCATCAGCTGAAGATGTGGTAAATGAAGTCCACAATTGTATAAAACTCTGTTTACAAATTACAGAAGATCGCCCTAATTTTCAACGGTCGGTCACAGACCCGATACTTTTTCATAGTTACAATGCAATTTTGAGCTGAAATGCTATAGAAAGTTTCTCAGGATACCATGGACAAAGATTAAAAAAAGTTTTTTTTTTTAAATTAATATCCCACCCAAGATGACGTTAAAGGACAGTCCAACATTTTAGACGGTGGTAAGACTAGGTTTACCGGCTTTCTGATGATTTTAACGACCCCAAAACATCTAGAACTTGCCCTGACCCCAATCCACCTAAGTGGCACGAGAGAGTGCAGCCTAGTCCCACGACTGCATGCAGCCTAACCCCGGCCCCCCCCCCTTCCCCACCGAAATATTAGACTATGCAGTGACCTGTGGATTTACCCTGTTTGGGGTAGGATATTAGTAAAGCACCCACAAAAGAAATAGACATCCTAAAAGATCTTAACTTCAGGCAATATTTGCTAGTAAATAGCAACTTGTCTCAGAAACTGAAATATTTTGGCTATATCAGGAGCCACGAAAGACTGGAAAACGTAACAACCGAAGGCAGGGAACTAGGAAAAAAAAAGGGGGGGGGGGGCGGCAGTGACAGACCTGCACGTAGAGAGGCACATAGCGTCAGTGACATTTTGGGTAGAAAAGTGAACTAGGCGAGAGAGCTGGCCAGAGACAGAGTATCTTTCATGCAGACTGTAATGAGAGCGACGTTCTACGATGCACTGCAGTATGATATTTAAAAAGAAAGTAAAGCTATAGTATAAAAGTAAAAAAAATGTGAGAATGATGACATAGAGTGATCTAATTTTATTTCTGCGGACATCGAGTGCCACAACTGGCGACTGGATTTCCGACTGGCTCGCCGGTAGACGACAATATTTTGGTCTGATTTTCTTTGATCACATCAAAACTGCAGGAGCCCTTTTCAGGGCTGCGTGCAGTGCTAACCTATTTCACATAACCAAGTCACAGTTATAACCTAAAGCTCCCCCTTCAGGGATGATGCTTGAAGGGGACGATTTTTTTTCTCTCAGTAAAGCACCCACCTACCGAGTTTACGGATCTAGCCAACGGGAACTACTAGTGTAGAACGTTTAATGTTATTACTGTTTACTGTTAGATATTATAATATATTATCAAGCCCTCTATCTATTTATCTCTTTGCCTCCCCAAGCTTTTAAATTTTTTTTTTTTTTTTGTCTAATCAGTTTTGACGGTTGTCACCAACTTTACGAGTCCATTCTTCTCCATATGTCAAAAAACCCGATTCTCTAATCAACTTACGGTGTTGACAGGAGGAAAGCTGTCCCGTTTATTTTTCTATCATTCCATCTCATTCTTATTCAACACTCTTTCCCAGATTAAAGCGGGTAACTTTCTTTTCACAGCTCTCTTCTATGTAAACGACGATTGTTTCTAGAATGTGTTGTTGTCTTGAATAGATCGCAGGTGCCGAAGGCGCCTGTGTGCAAGAAAGTAGTTTTGACGGGGGAAGGGTCTATTGTGCAACTGTTCGTGAGTATCGAATTTTTTATGCTTTTGAATTTTTACAATCTTTGGCGGTGGCTGTAGTCGGTGGTGGATGTGTTTAAAACGTTCAAAACTAGGAACAAATGACACCCCTTAGTGAGTTAGTCGACATATTATCCTCATGGCACATCGAACAGTTAGTAAATTAGTGACCAATTATTTGGAAGCTGCGGAAATGTGGTTTTATAGACGAATAATGCGAATACCTTGAACAGTTAAAAAGAGTAATGAGGATGCCTTGAACAGTTAAAAAGAGTAATGAGGATGCCTTGAACAGTTAAAAAGAGTAATGAGGATGCCTTGAACAGTTAAAAAGAGTAATGAGGATGCCTTGAAAGAAACTGATTCACGAAGAGAATTCATTGCCCGCATCAGACAAAGACAATCTACATTCCTTGTGTTGAGAAGGAGAAGACTGGAGTACATTGAGACAGTAGGAACGATGGAGGGGAGGAGGGACAGAGGGCGACCTAGAAAAAAGATGCTTGACAGTTTGACATCATAGCGTGGATGATCATGTGTGTCAAAGTTGATTGAAAGTGCATGAGAAAGTTATGGATAGACATGACTACCAACGCCACACGACATGGACTTTAGGAAAAAGAACATCGAACCATTCAGTCCATAAATGCTTGGATCCCCTTCCTTGCAAATCTAGCAGCGTGTAGCAGCTCACGACACAAGTTCTATGTTGGTTTCTTATTCTTCTTTGTCTTCCTGCATAGTGCTCTCGTCTGGCCACATACCTTTTAAAATGTTGTTCTTGCAGTCTGGCCATGGTTGCAGATTCCTAGTCATCACCTGGTTCTCTCAAACGTCTTACGTCGTAGAATAACAGCATGGTTCAGTGCTCGTCTGTCCTTCCCATTGGCTTTACCTGCAAGTCGATCAGCTTATTCATTTTCCTGCACGCCTGCGTGTTTTGCCACAAATATGAAACTAATATGTGTCAACCCCGACGGTTTAAAGACTCCAATCACTGTCTCCGGATACAGCGCTTCTCTGTCTTCCCGAGCATACTCTTTGAGTCACTGAAAAAACTTTTTGCAGTAAAATGTCAGTGTCTCTAGGCCATGTTATTGTTTTTGTCGCTGCCATGACCTCCATAGTCAGACAAATTGTGATCAAGACAACAGCACCAGAATCTTGCTTCACAGTTCTAACTCAAACCTGAAAAGTAAAAGTTCAAGAGCTTCTCACACGCCTAATCACAGACCCATTTGTGTGAATTTACAACAGCCTCTTGTAGAGAATTCTCGAAAATTAAAGCCTGCACTTCCGCCTTAACAGGGGCTAAACTTTCTGGCCTGTATTTTCTGTCTAGTCAAATGTAAACAGAAAAGGACGTACAGCACTTCATTGGTACATATACTCATTCATCACCGGGTTCTATGTCCTCTAGTGAACTCACCTGCTGAATAATATCCTCCGCCTGATCCAACCAGGATTTTTCTCTTTTTAACCTGCCCCTCTCTCGCCCCCCCCCCCCGCCATCTTTATTTCACCATGCAGCGGATGGCGTGTCTTTGCGTTGACTTTGAGGTAAGCACCTGCTCGGCAAAATTGAAGACGGTCCTCCATATTTAAAAAATCAAGAAGGTAGCGTATCGCCCTAAGTGACACCTCTAGACTATAAGAGTGTTTCGGGAAATCCCCTACGAAATCTCGCGGTCGACGTGATGGGGTGACTTTCCTGAGTTATACCAAATACAAATAGCCCCAAAAAAAAAATTATGGCTTTTTGCAAAAGAAGTATAGCAGTCCTGTTTAAACTTTTTAAACCATCGCCTTAAAAGCAATGATGGGATTACAATTCTTTAGCAAAAACGTGGATTACTTACTGTATCCAATGGATATGAAATCTGTATCTGGATTAGTACTCATGGTGAAAAAAACTGGATCGCCATCAATGTCCTCTGTCTCCACTTGATAAATCAAATCACCGGGCGCTGTGGTGATTCCACTCTGAGTTTTAGCAACTGGTGGAGACAAAAAATTGAACGTGAGACACTTGGGAGGAAGGGGGGGGGGGGAGGAATGTGTTTATGTATGTAAGTTGTACCCCACCAGAACATCACACAAAGCGATAAACACTTAGTGACACAAAGTGTCACCATGCGGATGCGGATCACCCGAGGAGAGGTCCTGGAAACCCCGTTCAGCCGTAAGGCTGGGCTATGTTTAGTGCCCCCGGAAGAAGCCAGGGTGGAGCTTCAAAATAAGGAAAAATTGCATCCCACATGAAGACGGCATAGCTCGATTTGGGAGATTAGTAGTAGTAATACATTTTACTCCACTAGGACATTACACAAGCGATAAACACCCGATGACACAGAGTGCCACCATGTGGATGAGGATCACCCGTGGAGAGGTCCCGGAAACCGCGTTCAGCCATTAGACCATATTTATGGCCGGGCTATATTGCGGCCCCTGACGAGAGCCAGGGTGGGGCTTCAAGATTCGAAAAATTTCATCCCATAAGGTGGAGAACAACGACTAGGCACAAATTATAAATAGGAAGTTGGATGTAAAATACAGAAGGTTAGTCGATAGATCAACGTCACTGCACATCGAACTAATTACTTCTTAAGTGTGCAGGTCCACTTCGCAGTACACCCCACCCCCTGAACCCCCCCCCCCCCTTCTCCTCCTGCCCTCCTTTAAAAATAAAGAATTTTGTAGTGCTTGATAATTAAAGTTCTGTATTTGTTTATTATTCATCTTTCGCTTCCTTTCTTGTGTGGCTCCAAGCCATTTGCCTCGCGCTCTGAAAGTCGTGGGTTCGTTTCACGGCTACGTCATTCAGTTTACAAGTGCAATTTTTATGGGGACCCCTGGGGATCGTCACCGGAGCTACGGAGTTCATGCTTTGTGCGATGATCTCAGCAGGCCGCTAGCCGTTCTGTGGAGACAGACCGAGCCATATGAGCTAAAACCTGGTGCATTGAAGTCGATCCTCTCGACTTTAACCTCGACTTTAACCTCTGTCTAGCTTCGTCCCTTTTCGTCCTATTTTTATGTTTTAGCAACGGTTACCGTTTCACACATCTTACTTAATTCACGCCAAAAGCATACTTCTCATAGAGTACCGAGCACATCAGCCTATTCCACTGTTCATCCGCCCATCACAGTAACCCTATCCGCAAGCCTATCAGCTTCATCAATTTCCCTTACACATGCATGCCCTGGCACAAAAAATTAAACGGATTCTTCTTAGCCAGGACATCCTCAAGGACTTCGACCACTGTTTTCTGGTCCAATCCATCTCTGTGTTTCCTTAGCATACTTCTTCTATCACTAAGAAAGCATGTCCAAGTGAAAGTATGCGTCTCCAACCATTGTATTGCTTTAGTTCCCAGTGTGAGTTCTGGGGCCCTATTATAGGGAAAACAAGAATAGACCCACAACCTACTCAAAAGCATGTCGTAAGAGTCGACTAATTAGGAGCTTCCCTCAAAGTCGGAGTGCATCTGCCTGAGAGGCAAAGAACCAACAGTCTGAACACAAATGTGTCAGATCTGTCAAACGAATGCATAGGCAACACTCAAGTTCTGGAACGGGACTGCAGTCCAAAAGAGGACGAACAACCAGAACTTTCCACCAGAGTTTACAGCTAGAGATCTCAAAGAAGAAGAAGAACGAGAAGTATTGCTTTGGTTGCTGCCATGAAGTCCATAATCAAGACTGTAGCCAAGACAGAAGAAACAAAATCGTCCTCCACAGTTCTCCCTCAAACTTGAGCCATAAGGATTAAGGTTTTAACAACGGATCAACATCATGGCACAAGAGTAATAACCCAAAAGTGCTTCGTTCTACTTCTAACTGAAGTCTGAGTCCGAAGCATCTCAGTGCAGTGCACGAACTCCGTTGCACCGGCGAGCCGTAAAAGCACAAGAGCTCCTATTATTCTCTATCGTCCTTTTCAGGATGAAATTTTTTTATTTGAAGCTCCACCCTGGCTTTTGCCGGGGGCCTCAATATAGGCAGGCCATAAATATGGCCAAATGTCTGAACGCGGTTTCCGGGACCTCTCCACATCGATCCTCATCCGCATGGTTGCACTTTGTGTCATCGGGTGTTTATCGCTTGTGTGATGTCCTAGTGGGGTAGAAAATCAGTCAGTCGAGCATCGAATGAAAGACTCATCTCATCAACGAGGGGATTGCTGATTGGCTGACCCGTAGGCTTTTTCATCGCCAGTCGGGATAGTATTTGGGTCTGTTTCCTTTGATCGCATCATCGCTGCATGAGTGCTTTTCATGGGTTTTGGTGGCAGGCAATCTTAGCCATTTTGTGTGGCGCAAATAACCTAGTCACAATTATAACCTAAAGCTCCCCCTTCGTGGATGCTAGTTTCACGTAGCGATTATATATATATATTCTTCTTCTGCCTTTCTAGCTCCCCAGTGGAGCATAGGCCGTCAACCAACTCACGCCGAGTCGTTCTATCTTTTGCTATCACATCGAGCTCTCTCCCCATGTCCTCCCCATCTTTCTAACTTCTTTCTCCAACTCTCTTCTCCATGTGTTTTTTGCCCTTCCTTTATTCTTATGCTCCTATTGGTTCTAATGCAAAGACATTCTAGTTATACTGTGCTCCGGTTTTCTCAATGTGTATCCTATCCAACGCCAGCGTCCTTTCCCCACCTCTTTGTCCACAGGAGCTTGCTTAGTTCTCTCCCAAAGCTCTACATTAGTTATTCTGTCACACCATTTAATTCTCTCTATTATGCGCAGGTATTAGTAATTGCCTTAGTTGTTCTCCACGTTTTCGCACCATGCAAAAGAACTGATTTGACATTAGGATTAAACATTTTAAGTTTAGTATTTATTTCTTAGAATTTCTGTTGACCTCCACAAACTCTCTAGTGCTATGAAAGCTGTTCTTGCCTTTTGTATTCTTATTTTAATATCTCTATCAGTTACTCCATCTTTATCTACATTACTGCTTAAACAGGTGTACGCCTTAACATCTCCGAGTGGGGCGCCATTAAGAGAAACCTCATTATTATTTGCCTGATTTATTCTCATTATCTTTGTCTATCCTTTATGGATTTTCAGACCATATATATATATATATATAATATGTATGTGTGTCTTCTGTAACTGAACTCTTTTTAAGCCTATCTAGAAGAGAACATTTATCATTGTAGGAAACATACTAAGATTTCAATGAAAAATTTAAACAAAGGAGAAAGTAACCAACTCACCATTCGTAGTTGTAGGGGAAACTAATGACGGGGGTGTGTTTGGAACAACGGCCACCCTGACATTTTGCGTTGTTGTGGGTTCCACGTCATCAGTACAACCAATGGCTAAGGTATACTGAGGGGTGGTGCTGTAGCGTAAATCTCCTTGATCTGCTTCATAGTATAGGCAGTAACCTATGTAAGACATAAAGAAAACGTTAGTTGTGTATCCTTTACAGGACGTTGCAGAACCAACCCCCCGTATTTTTGTTTTTGTTTTGGCTGTTGAAGTTTTTCGACGCAAATTAACGTCCAGTAGTTTGTCATTGCTTTCAGTAAGGTCGGCTTCTCGATGCTACTGTTGAAACCAACCTAAGGTTGCAATTCCAGTAGCTGAGATCGAACCCGGAACCCCGGCATTATAAAGCGCGTTTACAACGCCAAAGCCACAGACGCTGACATGTGAAACATACGCATTCTTTAATAAAGTGGTTTGAGAGAATGAAGACTTACAGTATCTTCTTCTTCTTCTCCCGCTTCTTCTTCTCCTCCTTCTCATCGTCCTCCACCTCACAATCTTCCCCCTAAACTTCCTCTTTCTTCTTCTCTTTGTTTTCTTTCTCAGCCCGCCCTTTTTTTAATGCATTGCAAGATGTCCTCTTCTTCTTCGCGTTCACCAGCCATAAACTCTGGCGGAAAGTTCTGGTTGTTCATCTACTCCTGGACTGCAGTCTTGATCCAGAACCGGAGTGTTGCGTGTGAATCCGTTTGACAGATCTGACACATTTGTATGCAGACTGCAGGTTCCTTGTCTCTAAGGCAGATGCACTCCGGCTACGAAGGAATCTCCCAATTAGTCGACTCTTACGACATGCTTTTGGGTAGGCAGTGGGTCTATTCTTGTTTCCCCTATAATAGGGTCCCAGAACCCACACATGGAATTGCAAGGCTAATTCTACGGGCGGTGAATATAGGTCCTGAAAGATAATCAACAATGAGAGGGAAACATGTGCGGACTTTTTAACAAGGCTGCATCTGGTGGTATTAGCATGTCGACTATTCTTCAGCTACTGAAAAATGGGAGACGGAGCACGTACAGGAATGTCCCGAGTGCAGTGATATCAGTTCTTCATTCATTCATCCTCTGCCCCCCCCCCTTTTTGTTCCCCTCATTCTACTTCTTTCCTCCTCCTTCTCCTGTTCCCCTTCCACGTCATCATGTATCAGGTCCTTTGAAAGACATCGCGCTCACCACGGTCTGCCTGAAAGAAACTCTCTCACCAGTTTTCCTACTCAGTGTATCACTTATATCCTGTGCCCATCGTTGTGCTGATCGGCCCCTGTCCGCCACTCCTGTTAACATGTCTTCTGCTACTATTATTTCCACTGTAGTGTAGCGTTTGATTTTGCCAAACTATTTTATAAGAATACAAAAGGCAAGAGGGGCTTTCATAGCACTAGGGAATTTGTGGAGGTCAAAAGAAATTAAAAGAAATATTAAACTAAAAATTTTTAATTCTAATGTCAAATCAGTACTAATGTATGGGGCGGAAACATGGAGAACAACGAAGGCAATTACTAATAAATTACAGACATTCATTAACTGGTGCCTGCGCAGAATAGAGGGAATAAAATGGTATGATAGAATAACTAATGTAGAACTTTGGGAGAGACCTAAACAGGCTTCAGTGGATCAGGAGGTGAGGAAAAGACGCTGGCGTTGGATAGGACACACACTGAGAAAACAGGAGAACAGCATAACTAGAATGTCTTTGCATTGGAACCCACAGGGGCATAGGAATAAAGGAAGGCCAAAAAACACATGGAGAAGAGAGCTAGAGAATGAGGTTATAAAGATTGGGAGGACATGGGGAGAGCTCCAGGTAATGCCGAAGGATAGAACGACTTGGCGTGAGTTGGTTGAGGGCCTATGCTCCATTGGGGGATAGAAAGGCAGAAGCAGAAGACGAAGAAGAAGAAGAAGAAGAAGAAGAAGAAGAAGAAGAAGAAGAAGAAGAAGAAGAAGAAGAAGAAGAAGAAGAAGAAGAAGAAGAAGAAGAAGAAGAAGAAGAAGAAGAAGAAGAAGAAGAAGAAGAAGAAGAAGAAGAAGAAGAATTTCAGTTTCTGAGGCAAGTTGCTGTTTACCAGCCATATTACCTTCCATTTAAATCTTTTAGGATGTCAACGTGTTTTTTTTTTCTTATCATAAAAGTAGACAATAACTCGCCTGAAGAATTCCCTCCGGAAGCCGGTCCTCCACACTGTCGGAGAGAAAAGCATTTGGGGCCGCATGGAGCCGTCGGCGTCACGGACTGAATGAAGGCCCTGGCATTATCATCATCAGAACACGTTGCTATCGGCCCTGCTGGATACAGATCGGTTTCTCTGTTTTCTTCTTCGTTCACTTCAACATCTATGGCGTTCAGTACCAAGTTTGGCGGTGGCGGTATGTTACTCTGGGGAAAACAGAACAAGTTGGTTACTCTAAAGAAACAGGGTACGTTACTGTGGGGAAAACAGAAAGGGCTGATATTTTACAGGGTATATTACTGTCGGTTCGGCTCTGTGGCTAAGTCGATGCGAACGCTTCGCTTCGTAATGCCGTGATGCCAGGTTCGATCCCTACTGCGGGCAACTCGCCTTGCGTTGGTTTCGACAGAGGTATCAAGAAAGCCGACCGTCCAGGAAGCAATGGCAAACTACTGGATGGAGATTGCCCAGAGAAACCACACAACAGCCAGGGGCTGTTAGGGTTGGTTCTGCAACGTCCTGTAAAGGATACGCAACTAACTTATTATTACTGTCGGGGGAAAAGGAACGGCTGATTACTGTGAAGAAATTGGCAACGTTACTCTGCGATAAACATAAAAGGTTAGTTACTCTAAAGAAACAGAGTACCTTATTGTGTGGACAATTGAAAACGTTCGTAACTAAAGACAACAACAGGGTAAGTAACTCGGGGAAAAAATCATTAGTGCCACCGGTTTAATGCGGTGCCGCCTCCATAATGAAGGTTGGCTGCAATGGATCTCCAAAACGCTCAGGATGTACATTATCCCAGACTGCTGTTTATCCATCTCTTGACGTTATTCAGCCGCTTGTATCACTGTCTGCCTCTTTCTCACATGCCTCTTTTCTACTCATTGTGGTTTTTTATAGGTATATTATTAATTCTCAAACTTCTTTGAAATAATTATGGTACGTTCTTATAAAACTAAACAAGGCGCGTAATTAAAGAAACAAACAGGATTTGTTAATCTGGGGATAATAACAGAGTACAGTGAAACATTACAGGTAACTTAAAAAAATTATTTTGTAAAGTAAAAAGTTCACGCCTTAGGAACATCAGTCAAACAGTTCTAGACCTATATTTTAGAAGATTGTTCGTTATTGAAGGGATAATGTCCCCCGTGTGGGTTCCGGGGCCCCATTGTAGGGAAAAACAAGAATAAACCCACTGCCACCCCAAAAGCATGTCGTAAGAGTCGACTAATTGGGGAGCTTCCTTTGAAGTCGGAGTGCATCTGCCGGAGAGGCAAGGAACCAACAGTCCGAATTAAGAAGAATGAGATCTGTAAAACTGATGCACACGCAACACTCAGGTTCTGGAGCAGGACTGCAGTTCAGTAGTGGACGATCAACCAGAACTTTCCGCCAGAGTGTACAGCTGGTGAACGCGAAGAAGAAGAAGAAGGGATAATGTGGTCAACATCACGGAGTCCGCCTTTACTTCCGAAAACATTACCTGGTACACATTTGAGGCGGAGGGGTCTGGGAGTCGATGGCGTACGAAGGGGGTGCTGGGGGTACGGACTCCCAGGGTGTCAACACCTGGAGGGGGTGGGTGGGTGGGTGTGACAGGGAATAGAAAAACAAGTATGATTTCAAAATTATACATATATATATATATAGAGCCTGTATGGTGTAGCGGCTAGATGCTTTCTTGTGGATCGGTAGGTCGTGGGTTCAGTTCCTGACGGGCCTGGACTTTTGTTAAAAATGACTTGGCTAGCACATCGACCCAGCCTTGAATGGGTACCAGATAGAGTCATTGAAAGTAAAGGCAGCCGGCGTAACGCTGACCCCATCACCCACCAAATGCCATTTGGTCTATAAAATATAGGTCTAGCCCTATATGCCCAATACACCTGAAGGCGTGGAAAAAGGCCCTTTAATTTACTACAAAAATATATTTGAGAGGGGTGGAGAAGGGGGGGGGGGGTGACATGAAATGTTCCGTAGCGGATACCACCTGAAATTGCTACTGTGGAGAAACGTCAATTTTGAAAAATGGAATCCATCTCAAAGCTGATTTGAACTTTATAACTTTGGCCAGACTGTCGGAATTCAAACCGCTACATACATAAGTAGCACTTTAAAAAAATATCAAGGTAGACATATTACTCTGAAACAATTAAGATATATTACAAACAGGGTACCTTTCTGTAAAACAATAATACCAAACGTTAAAAGACAATGTCAACATTGACGAAGCTATAGTAAGAGAATAATGAAAAACAGAAACAGCGTATGGTTTCAAAATGAGGGTCATTGAGGTATATGGCGCTCCCGTCCGTCCAAAAGAGGCCGTGAAAATAAAGATGCTTGTGTGAAACTAAAATAGCTAGAAAATAATCATGTTGATAATAATAATGATATAATCAACATGTTTTGTCAAATTATCACATCATAAAGGGAGGTCACGGGGGAGAGGCATTGTCTGGATCTTTTCTCCGGGTCATGTCGGTGTGTTGGGAAATGAACAGGCGGACAGACTTGCTAGCTTTGCACAACTTGGTGGAATACTGATGCATGATAAGGCAAATGTGGTTAGTGCCTTGTGAGAGCGTGTACACTTTGGAGGAGCAAATGGATCACCACAGTCTGGTGAGAGGGATGCAGCGGGAAGTGGCGAGGGGATCTGGCCGATGCTCAGCGCTCAGAGGAAAGGCAAGACGCACGTACTAGTATGATCAGAATGCTACTGGCACCATTGGTTTTGGAACTGCGCTGCTGCTGAAGACGGGGACGGAGTGCTTATGGTAATGCTCCGAGTGTTGTGATGTCGGTTCCCGTAGCTGCTCAACTGAACACAGTTCATCATAAAGGGAATTGACGAAGAATAAGTAGTAGTGTAAATGATTTTCATCTCACTTTTCAAACATATCTTTACTTTTTGGGGATGAAAAAATCAAGAAAACGTATAGTTATAATTTATAAATGGATAGTCTACTTACTGACTGATAGGATAAACTGAAGACAGAAAATAAAACCAGTGCGAAAAAACACCGATCCATTAGGTTGCAATCTGTAAGAAATCGTTCATCGAAGTAAATATTTTATAAATCTCCTTTACTCTATACGTAATTTGAAGTTATCCAGTAGAATCTTGAAAAATAATGAATATCTAAACAATTCATAGAGCAATTTATCTGTAGCTTATAGTGTATATTAAACTGAATTTGAAGCAATGTACCGTATCCTTTAAAATATCCCTTTACTCGCTCTTACAACTATTTATAGACACTTTCCGTATGATTAAATTTATTTCTTAAATTTACAAAACTAATGTCAGCTTATGTCATCCAAACAGGCAACTGGCGTAGGTAAATGAACAGGATAAGTTCGATTGAAAACCCGGAGATAATAAAACATGCCTTCAAGTCTAGTTTTTACACTGACCATAATATTAATATCTTTGACAGCGCGTCAGTTCTTTGAAAGTTCCTGGCATAACAATCTCTATTGATCGATACATAGCCCCATTCAAGTTTGAAAATCGATAGTTCCTTTCGACTTTTGTTAACATGTTTTTTACCCCTCCAAATTTACACACCATGTGTTATCAGCTATTCACTAAAATCTGGTAATATGGTAATCTTAGTTTCGGCTTCATAGGTTTTGAGGTTTTGAACAACGGATTAACATCATGGAACACGGGTAGTAACCTATAAGTGCTTCTGTCTTCTTCTAACTTAAGTCTCCGAGAAAGCTCAACACAGTGCACAACAAACTGATCATAGCAAACGAGTCAACCCATATTTGCTCCGCTTCTGTGCCAGCGAAAAACACACATAATTTTCCTCTGTACCTTGTGGAAAATTGACACGGGCTGCAGTTTCAGCATATCTACTAGCATAAACACACATTAAAAGCAGCCATCAGAAGTGCTAACGCAAACAGTCCAACATTAGAAATGCAGTTTGTCATCGACGGAAGCGGCAGTTGCAAACAGATCAGCAGTTATTTAGTTATTATATAGGTAGGTAACTGTTGCCTTTCAGGATTACTGTCTGAAGGATCAAAACCTCACAGATACGTCATATGCAAATCCCAGAACTGCCGTTAAACAGTTGAACACAGTTATTGTTAGGACACCACTAGAGTTACATTGCATTCTAAAGTCCAGTGTGGGAACGGCAAAACTAACAAGCTTTACAAACTATTGAGAACAGTATTAAACACAAATTCATAATCCGTTTAACTTGCCTTTAATTACCGGTTTCTTGAGATCTAATAGATTGCGATATTTTGGGTTATCGAAAGAATGTCAGACGATAGCGAGAGAAAAAAAAAAGAGAGAGAGGGGGACAGAAACAAAGAGAATGGCAGATAGAGACAGAGAGACAGAGACAAAGAGAGATGCAGACACAGCGAGACACAGAGACAGAGAGATAGAACGAAAGACAGAGAGACAGATGCTGAAGAAGAGACAGAGAGAGAGACTGAGAGACAGAGAGAGAGACAGACAAACCAGGACACCGGGAGATAGAGGTAGAGAGCAATAGAGAGAGAGATAGAGAGAAAACGAGAGATGGAGAGAGACAATGAGATACTGAGGGAGACAGTGAAAGAGAAAGGGGGCAGTGAGAGACAGAGACAGATAGATACAGAGCACCGAGAGACAGAGACAGAGAGAAATAAAAAGAAAGACAGAGAGAGAGAGACAGATACAGAGTGAGTCGGAGACAGGGAGAGAGAGACATAAAGACAAAGAGACCGAGACACAAAGAAAGACAGATGGAGACACAGAGAAATAGAGAGAAAGAGACAGAGAAAGAGATCGAGAGACACATACAAAGCGACATAGACACTGACAGAGACAGAGAGACACACAGAGAGATGGAGCGAGACATAGATAGACAGAGAAAGACTTAGACAGACATAGAGGCAGAGAGAGAGAGAAAGAGACATAGAAAGAGACATAGAGATAGATACAACGAGACATATGCGTATATAGTGACAGAGAGAGATACAGAGTGAGACGCATAGTGAGGGAAACAGAGAGACAGAGACACGGCGAAAGTGAAAGGCAGACACAGTGAGAGGTACAAAGAGATATACGGTCAAAGACAGAAACACGGAGAAACAGAGAGACAGAGACACAGAGAGACAGACAGATGGAGACAGCGACATAAAGAGGCAAAAAGACAGAAAGACACATAGAAAAACAGAGACAGATAGAAAGAAAAAGACAAAGACAGAGAGAGAGACAGACAGAGAGACAAAGACAAAAAGAAAGAGAGACAGTGAGAGGCAATGAGACAGCGCGAGAGACAGAAAGAGAAACGATATGGATACAAAGAGAGACAGAGTCAGAGTTTGACATTTTTAGAAAGCGAGACAGGGAAAGGTGTAGAGAGAATGTGAGAGAGACATAGAGAGATAGAGAAAAATAGCGAGACAGAGAGAGAAAGAGAGACAGAACGGTAGACAGAGAAAAGAGAGAGACACAAATACATACAGGGAGAAAGAGAGACACAGTCAGATGGAGAAAGAGACACAGAGACAAAAGACAGAGAGAGACACAGAGAGTGGGAAAAGACAAAGGAAGATAAGGAGAAACAGACATAAAAACAGACAGAGACAAGCAGAGAAGACTGTGTAGAGATAATATACATTGGCTTTACTTTTTTTCTTTCCCTTTAAATCTAGTGTTGTTGTTAAATAAAGAAAATGTCGTCAAGAGAGAGGGAGAGAACGGGGGGGGGGGGGGGGGGGGGAGGCGGGATGAGGGTGGTGGGGGGGTGTTCGGGGGGGGGGGGGGGGGGGGGGGGGGGGGGGGGGGGGGGGGGGGGGGCGGGGGGGGGGGGGTTTTTGGGGGAGAGAGAGAGAGAGAGAGAGAGAGAGAGAGAGAGAGAGAGAGAGAGAGAGAGAGAGAGAGAGAAGTTGTTGAATACTTTGACGACCTGGTATGGAAGATCATCTTGTCAGAATTTATTGTAAGTACACGAGACAAAACGCTGTGAATAGACAAGACTACCAACGACATATGGCAATGTCTGAAAGAAGAAAAAGAAGAAGAAGGAGGAGGAGCAGGAGGAGGAGGAGAAGAAGAAGAAGAAGAAGAAGAAGAAGAAGAAGAAGAGGAACGAACGAACGAACGAACTTTTTTTCAAAGAGTTACAAATTGGGCACGCAGGCCCGTCTGACATTCGGCCCTAAAGAAGAAGAAGAAGAAGAAGAAGAAGAAGAAGAAGAAGAAGAAGAAGAAGAAGAAGAAGAAGAAGAAGAAGAAGAAGAAGAAGAAGAAGAAGAAGAAGAAGAAGAAGAAGAAGAAGAAAAAGAAGAAGAAGAAGAAGAAGAAGAAGAAGAAGAAGAAGAAGAAGAAGAAGAAGAAGAAGAAGAAGAAGAAGAAGAAGAAGAAGAAGAAAAAAAAGAGAAGTGCTGGCTTGAAATATTATTAAAATAATATGTACAAGGACGGAGTAGGCCTATCTATGCATACTCTTCACATCGATTTACAGATTTAAAAAGCTGACATGTCAACCCGCCTTACGCTTTATTATCTATATGAATAAATCGATTGCACAAAGTCACGGAGCACCAATCCTTGCTGTGAAACTTGTAAAACTGGTTGTAGGGTTCCAAATATGTGTCGTATTTATTTTATCAACGGTCTGTCTTTAAAAAAAAAAAGTGAGTCATTTAAATATTTATGTTATAATAAAAGTAGACGGGGTTTTCGTTTGATCGGTAGTTCTAGAACTTTGCAGAGTTTGAAAGGATTCAACACAAATTTTTAACGTTTTCATTATCTGAACATGTTTTCCAGTGTGGGTCCCAGAAGTGTCACGTCTGCAATCTCAGAAATTGTCAACAATGTCACGTCTCCAATTTTGGAGATTGTCAACAATGTCAAGTCTGCAATTTTGGAGATTGTCAAACAGTGTCACGTCTGCAACCTCGTATTTTGCCGACAATGTCACGCCTGCAATCCCGGAGATTGTCCAAAAGTGTCCATACTGCAATCTCGGGGATTGTCTATAAGGTCACGTCTGCAATCTCGGTGACTGACAGTGTCATGTCTGTAATATCTGCGATTGCTAACAATGTCACGTCTGTAATCTCAGAGATTGACAGAGTCATGTCTGCAGATTCGAAGATTGCTAACAATGTCACGTCTGCGATCTCAGAGATTGACAAACAGTGTCACGTCTGCAGTCTCGGAGATTGACAGTGTCACGTCTGTAATCCCCCCCCCCCCCCCCCCCCCACAATCAGCAGAAAAAAGGGGAGAAAAAAATGTTTTTCAAGTAAAAGAAGTCATAAGGTACTTTTAGGGGAAAACCCCTACTTCTTCTTCTTCTTCACTTCCTCTTTTACCGCTGTGGGTGTCGAGGGAGATATAAGGTTCTTTTTCTAGCTCTTCTGGCTGCCTCGACCATAGGCACATCGTGCTGTTGTAGAGTTTCTCTGATGTTATCCTTTCATCTTGTTGTTGGTCTACCCCGTGCTCTACGTCCTTCTTCTCTTTCCATGTATGCTTTGTATGGTATGGTGTCACAAGGCATTCTCTCTAAGTGGGCAAACCATTTCACTTGCTGTCTTTGTATGTAATCCAGAATTGGTTCTCTGCCGACAATTATCATAAAAAGAAAATAACACAGATTGAAGAAAAAAAAAATGTGCAGTTTTACACCTAATGAAACCAAACATCCAGACGGTATGTGCGTGCTGTTCATTACACTACAAAGGACAGGACAAAAACCGCAATACTAGAAGAACTGTTGGTGTCGACTTCTGTTAATCTCCGTTAATGTTGGTTTGAATATGCAAGCCCTGCTTAGTCATCGCACCAATCTAGTTTCATGTTTTGTTTGTTTTTAATTGTGTGAGTTGAGTAGGAGTGGTCTCTGAGTGGACTTTTTGTGTGTGTTGTTTTTGTTTTCAAAGGCGGTTACCTTAGTTACCTGGCTTAATTTAGATTGTAAGGTGTTCTTTTTTCTATCTATCTATCTATCTATCTATCTATCTATCTATCTATCTATCTATCTATCTATCTATCTATCTATCT